TTTCAAATCGAACAAATATATAAAATAAACCACAAATCAAACAAAGTTATGAGTCCACAAGCTTTTAAAATTGATACCCAAGCCGCTGCATTAGAATTGCCAAGTTTTATCTGGCATTTTTTTGTCGTTTTGAGTTACTAAAGCAATGAGGCCATATACCAAATGTTCTCTCTGCTCTTTTTAAAGTTTTGGTAGAGGGTTTTACTATGCTCGCAACTGCATACGGTCATATGAGCGCCAGGAGATTAGAAGTGTTAAAAGAGAGTAACAAACATAAAAAAGAAAAAGGGGAGATAAGGACGACAGCAGATGTTTGATAGGAAAGAAGAGGCAAACCACACCAGAGCACCCGCCAACCATCCACCTATCTGCTCTAGCAAAATCGTAAGATTATTTGGAGTCGTTATCAAGATATCAAAAAAAAACTGCATTAAAAAAAGCTTGAAATGATTGACAAACTTGACGTCAAATTTCTCAAAACTAGGTACTGAGCAGATAGAACTTCGTTATTCTGAGGTAGCGAAGTGCTGTGAAACTCTCGCTAAAATCAAATGTGAGGAAACGTGGTGGAATCAGGCTCTCGTCCAAATAATCAAAGTGAAGAAACTTGCATTTTTCCGCAGGTTTGTGAATTTTTATAAAATTTTTGTTTTTTGGCTCAACACCTTTCATGCTCATGAAAGAACTCATTTCTGTGTGGAATTTTCTGAAAAAGAGTTGATTAAAGGCACAAAAAACGTAAATTTAAGTTACCACGAACTTTTAAGGAAAGGAAATAACTAATCTTTGGCGGCAATTTTCTCACTAATTTTACCTCTGAAAACAGGTGACCCCCACCTCCTTCTTTCACAAATATCTTGATTTGTGTTCAAGATAACTGGATATTTTTTTTCACCAAATAAAGACAAGTAAACAGGCTTTAATATGGTACCAATAATTCTATATGCCCAAAAATTTACGAGAGCCTGATTCCACCACGCTGCCTCACAAATGTAAGCTTACGTGTCAGTCAGGTGTATCTAAATAAAATGGCAAACAATATTCATGGTAGAAAAAGGAGCAAAGAACAAGGGTAGATTATGTTAATGAAGGTACACGCAAGAATTATATAATCCTGCTGGGCAATATCAGGTAGACAAATCTGCTATACTTTTGAGGTAGGTGACAGACAGGGAGAAAGAACGTAAACAAAACAAAACACAAAAAAATAAAGGAGGGGTGGGGGTAGGGGGTGGGGGTTAACGTTGGAGGAAAAAGCATTCTGATAGGGCATGCAGAGAAAACGAAATGAGAAGTCATCATACACATAATGTGCTGTATACATTATATTGCCTTCCCTCTGATCCACACCCAAGGAGTAAAAGAGGCCGTAGCTTTGCATGAAAAGCCTTACATTGTGGAATTGTCCAAATGCATTACACATTGATCAAGACGTTGACAGCTCGAAGTTAGCTTTCTTTGCTGCTGCGGATAGGAAGAAGCAAATGCTGCAAGCAAGCAATACTCATTAATGTTTTTAGGAAACCTTGATTTCGGAATATCGAAAAGGATTTGTGATTTTGGCAGGGAAAAGAGAGAGAGAGAGAGAGAGAGAGAGAGAGAGAGAGAGAGAGAGAGAGAGAGAGAGAGAGAGAGAGAGAGAGAGAGAGAGAGAGGGGAGAGAGGGGGGGGAGAGAGAGAGAGAGAGAGAGAAAAAATTCGGAGTGGGAGGGGGGTGGAAGGGGAGAAAAAAGGCGTGTGCATGCGAGAGAATGCCATATTATCGAACACGCTAGTCTGCACGTAACAGGTATGCATCAGCCAGTGAGTGTCATTATTAATTACATCGGTGTATTTGTAGACAGACCATTTCGAGCAGAAAAAGACTTGTTTATATAGCTCACTGTGCCCATATCGCAGACAGCCCATACTCCCCCCTCCTTCCAACAGTGCAGTGCTACTGACTGAAGTTTTCTTTAGGCCATTCCCAAGGGGGTGGGGGGGGGGGGTTATTAACATGCTCTTATGCACAGTAGAAGTGTAAATGGGCTGATTTATCAATGGCATGCTCATACTGTGCTGGAACAACATAAGGGGGTACTCCTGCTTTTTCTTTCTTCATCCTTACTATCGTCATTTTCCCTCTGATTCTTTTGTATGTCACTCTCTTGTGAACTGCTATCTCCGGGGTCCCTAATAGTCGAAGCAGACTTAGTGTTGTTGAGGCTAGAGAGGTGAGCAGAGTGAATCTGATTCCCCGTTCGGACTTCTCTGTTGACATCCACCACTTGGCGCTCATATAACGTTATGCAGTTGCGAGCGTCGTAAAACCTTACTAAAACGAAACTAAGACAGCCTATCGATGTTCTGTTTAAGTATACTAATTAAACTGTACAGCACAGTTTGCCACTTTTACGCAAAAGAGTTGAGTTAGATTCATGCGGGGAGTAGTTATTCTCTATCTTGAATCTCCTACTTTCAACAACAACAAACTACTACTACTACCACTACTACTACTACTACTACTACTACTACTACTACTACTACTACTACTACTACTGCTACTACTACTACTACTACTACTACTACTAATACGACGACGACGACGACGACGACGACGACTACTACGACTACGACTACGGCTACTACTACTACTACTACTACTACTACTACTACTACTACTACAACTACTACTACTACTACTACTACTACTACTACTACTACTACAACTACTACTACTACTACTACTACTACTACTACTGCTTTACCAACAATTATTATGTCGCACTCCAACGCTCTACTGATGTCCCATTGAGTGCCGGCTCACTTTGCTTTATTAAGGTATCTAACAGGTTCACAAGATATGTGATTACCTTTTTAGAGAAAAAACATTGTCTCTACTAACTTTAAAAGTTCGAAGCAGGTACCTCACTTTGACTGATCTGAAAGGGATTCTTTTCAATAATCTTTTAAATGGACACAATTCTTCCCTGTGACTGTACAATAATTAATGTCCGGTTTCTGTACATGCACACTAGTAGTTAATGTCAACTTTTTGTACATGTGCACCTTCTAAATGTCAGTTTTTCGTTCATGTATTTTAGTTAATTTAATGTTAACTCTCTCTCTTCAAGTGCAGTAGCAGTAGTTAATATCAACTTTCTGTACATGTATTGTAGTTAATATCAACTTTCTGTACACGGTATTGTCTTTAATGTCAACGTTCTGTACATGTAGAGCATTTAAAGTTTCTGTAAGTACTTGAAGTCAACTTTCTTTACATGGGTTTTAGTAGTCAATATCAGGGTTCTGTTCAATCACAATAGTTAATGTCAAACTTCTGTACACGTACAGGTAGTTAATGCCAACTTTCTACACAATATTATTAAGCCAACTTTCTCTTACCTTCTGCTGTTGGCAGCCAGAGTGTGGAACAGGTCGCAAAAGTCAGAACTGCTTCCAAAAGAATCATCTTGATCAGTGAATAAAGGAATAAAACTAATATCAGTAGCACAGAAGTTGGTAGGCCCAGATGAGATTGACTGAATCCAAAGACAGCGGTGAATCAACGAGGGTGATTGCTTTACTTTTCTTCTTACAGTTTGTAAGTTGCTGGGTTTGAGAGTTCAGTTCACACTTACAGAACCTGGCTAAAGTGTCTTGAACTGCTTCATGTGCTTTTTATTTTCATTTGCCAATTTGTTGCTAGCTTCTGTGTGCGTCTTTGTGCATCTGTGTGCGTGCGTGCGTGTGAATTTGTGCGTGCTTGTGTGTGTGTGTGTGTGTGTGTGTGTGTGTGTGTGTGTGTGTGTGTGTGTGTGTGTATGTATTGTGTTAGTGTTCGTGTGCAATAGTGTGCTTTTGTTAGTTTGTGTTTCCTACTTGAACCAGTTTCTTTGTTAGAGAGTAATGTACAACCTGAAAGGCTATTCAATACAAAAAAGCAAGAGAGCAATTTTTAAAAAAATGATGAGAACAAGTGTTGCACTGGCTTCGGACAAAGCTATCCACTAGCCTCAGGAACACAGAATGCGGTCGATCTTATCACGCTTTTGAGGAAGAGTTCCAATTCCTCCCCCTTAGCTCACTCCCGTAGCTCACGCGCTCACACACACACACACACACACACAACCACACTCACACAAAGTTGGCGTCAAGTTCCCGCGAGCGGCAGTGAGCTTGTCATTTGGACGATCGCTCGTCCTAAAATTCGATTCCCTCCCTCTTCATTTGTAGCAATACATGGAGTGCTGCTGGTGGGATGCAGATCTCGTTCGTGATGTGGGGAACCAAGGGCGCGGAGACTGAATGGGGAAATTCAAATGAAAACTTGTGGGACGGTTCCTGATCAGTGGTTTAGGGACAAGAGTTGTAGTTGGAAATGGTGAAGATGGGGAAAATGGGAGTGGAAGAATTGGGCAGTTTTATTAAGAGTTTTACGGTACATGTAACACGGATGTGTAATATAAGTACCGAAGATTAGATGTGTTCCTACAAAGTAGTATCAAGAGAAGGAGGGGGAGAGATAAGAACGAAAGATATGTTGAAAGTAAGAAGGAGCAAACTACAACAGAGCGGCGCTCGCCAACCACCAACTGAGAATTGCGGAGCTGAGATAAAAGATAACTGACAGAGAAATGGACGGAATTGTCCGTGTTCAAAAGAAGCGTAATAGATGGATCTTTTTTCTCATTCATGTTGTTTGTCTTCATCTAGAGACACACCATACACTCAACACGTCTAGAGACACCTCTACTTAGACAACCTTGTTGTGGCGCTGTGAGTCGTGAGTTTCTTACACACAATTATTATTATATGCCAGAAGATATTCGGAGACGTCTCCGGTGAGCACCCAGGAACTACTCGGAGACGCACTCCCGCGCACAGGGGGGGGGTCAAACTGTGTATTATTTGCTATAGATCACACATATAGCCACTAAAACTGTCGCAAATAAATTATTTTCGAGAAAATTTCCAATCTAACTGCAAAATATCAAATTATGGGTTAAAACAGGGCGTGAGGTGGGGTGGTCATGCCCCCATGTAAACCCCCATATTTCTTTACTTGGTTGTGAGACACGAAGCATTTTGATTGGTCGATTTCCGTCGGAGACGTCTCCGGACAGATACTGCGCACATATTATACAGGGTGTCCCAAAAGTTGTGCACCACCCTGACGGAAATCGAGGTTCTGAATAATGCAAAAAGAACACCCTTGAAAAATCCAGGCTTGTTTACGAGAGTCAATGCTCGTTCTGTTGCCAAGGGGGCTCAATGCAAGAATTTATAGACCAATAATTATACCAGACAAGCTATTTATAAAAACAAACAGGTTTGTGCGCAACATTTGGGACACCATGTTTAATTGGTGTCACATAAGATCGTCTGTCCGGCCTTGCCACGATGATCCTGCAAGGCAGCGTCCAGGGAAAAAGGAGGAGAGGCAGACAGAAGAAGAGTTGTGGGGACAACATCAAGGAATTGACAGGCCTGGAACTCAAAGACACGCTCAGAAAAACTGAAGACCGGAAGGAGTGGCGGAAGCTGGTGGCCAAATCTTCAAAAGCGCCCCGACGGACATCCAGTCTACGGAATAGGTGGAGGTGAAGGTGACATAAGCTCATGTGGTATCATTCTGAACTACGGAGGGATGACTCTTGTTCGAACCCCCAACGGAGCGTTCTGAACTTAAAGATTGTTTTTTTTTTAAATGTTTTAAAGGCTCTCCGGCCATTTGGCTCGGTCATGTTGGCGATAGAGACGTTGAATTCGGAGACTCTACCACTTTAAAAACTTTGTAGTGTTGAAAGGGGTGTTAGATCTAAACAATTAAATTTGTACGCAAAGACATTATAATGATCAGACAAAGAAACGTGAAGTATATAATTTGAGATATTCCTGAATGTGTCAGTGGATCACGGTTCTTTTCTTGACAACTAGAGGAGTATGTGCGATCACGGGTCAAGGTTTTCCAAAGAACATGATACATATCACTTTATTGTGTGTTAATACGAATGATTCTATATTATAATAGTAATAGATAACATTTGTATATCGCAAATTCCCGCCCAACAACAAGCTCTATGCGCTTCACAATCTAAAAAACACACGTTATTAACGTCTTAGGGCACCCTGCATTGCCTCAGTCATTTACAGATTTGTAGGACTGCTCTCTCTCTCTCTCTCTCTCTCTCTCTCTCTCTCTCTCTCTCTCTCTCTC